CGGATGTGGCCCTGCGGTGGGGGCGAGGGAAGGGCACATGGGGACGAAGAGGAGTTCAGGGGGGCGTGTCAGTGGAGTTGTGGTCAGGAGGAGCAGCGAGCGAAGGATGGATCTGTGGAAGGCTGTGCGTTGCGTAAGAGGGAGGGTTATGGAGGTGTGTGGTAAGTAGGGGCAGGCACGCTTGGGGAGAGAGAGGGCGGAGAAGGGGTTATCAAGGAAGGACGTGGTGGGGAAGAGAGAACCGGGTGGGGCAAACGAGTGGGGCGAACGGTGGTGGGGGGTGGGGAGAGTTTGTGTTGGGGAGGTCGAATGGAGGAGGGATTGAGGTTATAAGATGCATCAACGATCCAATTGCAGGCAGTGAGTAGGCGAGGTTACGACTGTGGTGGCGGCACCATATGGCAAGCAGCACCAGTGCCAGGGTGATGACCCACCCACTCAAGACTCGTGCCATGCCCTGTGCCCTCCGCCTCATGCCTTCCCCTCCAAATCTGCTCCCCTCTATCGCTCCCTCTCGACCTCCCCCATCCCCGGCGCACAGGCGCTGTTCTTCCAGTTTGGGGTGCGCCTGCAGGGCATCTTCGACACGCAGGTATGCCTGCTGCACCGCTGCCATGCCTGTGCCGCGCTCACGTGCCATCGTGCCATATCGGTCTGCTGCGCGCCTGCGACTCACAGCTGTGAAGGGGGGATCGTTGGCGTTTTCCTTGTGTTCCACACCACTCGCCTCGAGCGTCACCACCAATTTCCACCTGAGTGCTGTTTCAACCTGCTTGTCTCGTCTCTACTCCCCCACCCGGCTCGTCTCGTCTCTTTTCCTCCAACCAGCTCGTCTCGTCTCTACCTGCGTTGCTTCACCCCGACCCACGCCCCCCCTCCCTCTTTATTGAAATAGTTCTCCCTTCCTCCCTGCCCATCTTTGCACGTCTCTCCTCTCCTCACAAACCCGTTTCCTCTTTCCTTCTACCTCCCCCTCTCGCTCTGTGTGTGCCTTTTTCACCACTCCCTGCCCCACCTTTTTCCCCCCAAATTCCCCCCCGTCAACCCCCCCTCTCTCTCCCCACCCGCCTCCTCCTCTTCACCTCGTTCCCTCCTCCGCGCCCCCCTGTCTCCCCCGGGCAGCTGGCGCATGCGATGATAGAGGAGGTGCGGGGCGTGGCGGACGTGCAGTCGGACCAGATCTCCTTCGTGCAGCTCGCCAGCATGCCGCAGTACTGCGGTGCGCACCCCAACCCCACCACACCACACCGCTCCACACCACACCGCCGCTTGCACGCACAGAAGCAGCACTTGCACGCATGGGGGCTTGCTTGCACACATGGGCGGGTGCTTGCACACGTGGAGATGGGAGGAAATGGTATCAGATGGTGTGGGAGAGATGGAAGTGTGAGAGGAGGAAAAAATCATGGCGTATGTATGTGGAGGACGATATGCTGTGCACTACAGGCGGACGGATGGTGGGGGCAAGAAAGGCGTGGTCCATGTGTATGGTGTGTGCGTTTTGTGTGTGGGTGCAGGTGTGGCGTATGATGAGAAGGAGGAGGTGCGCCAGCTCATGCGACAGGTCAGCCCGCGCTCTCTTGCATTCTCCCCACTGTTCCACTGCCAGCCTGTTGCCAATAGACCCACATCCCTGTTCCTACCTTCTCTTCCCTGCCTCCCATACCTGCAATCGTCCGCCGTGCCTCGCCCGTGTGCACCTGAAATCTGCATTGCCTGTCTCTCACTGCGTTGTGGACGGCCCGTTGGAGGCGAAAATGTGAAATCGGCCACCAAAACATGATCATTGGCCAATGCACCTTCTCGCTAGCTTCTCCTCCATTCCCTCCCACCCTTCCACCCACCCTCCCACCCTCCCTCCTCCCTCCCTCCTACCACCCTCCCTCCCACCCTCGCACCCCTCTTCCCACCCTCCCACCTACCCTCCCACCTTCCACTCCCTCCCTCCCACCCTCCCACCCAACCTCCCACCCACCCTCCCACCCAACCTCCCTCCCACCCTGCCACACTCCCACCCAAACTCACACTCTCCTCGCCTCCCACCCTCCCTCCGCCCTCCCTCCTCCCACCCTCCCTGTTCCCACTCTCACCCCCTCCTTCCTGCGCTCCTTTGCTCCCTCCTCCCCCTTTCTTTGCTCCTTGCTTTCATTCTCGCTCCCTCCTACCTTCTCCAAACCCCTGCCCCCTCCTGCCCGATCCTGTCTCCCCTTCCCCGGGGGCGCCCCTCCCATGGCGCCACGGCCACCAGGACCCCACGTTCTGGAAGCACAGGCCGTGGACGCCAGTCATGCTGCGCGCCGCAGCGGACGACGTGCGCTTCCTGCCCGCCATCCACCGCCGCATGCACACGCTGCTGCTCGCCGCCCCCAACGGCGCCACCAGGCTGCGGCAGCTGGCGGTGCAGAGCGAGCTGCACGCGCGGTGCTTCTGCCTGGGCGCGCATGACTGGCCCGCTCCCACGCCCTGGCATCATGACGGGCTTGTGCGTGCCGGGGAGGTGTGGGGGGAGAGGGAGGGGTATGGGGGGCGGAGGAGGGGGGGATTGGAGGGGGATGGGAAGGGAATAATATGTGGAGGGAGGATATTGGAGTAATGGAAGAGTTGAAGTGGTTGCGCTGGCTGCTGCCTCTTCTGGTGTTCTCCCTTGTTTGGTTGAAGATTGGCTGTGTCTCACCATCCTCTCTGTGTTGTGTGTTTGTGCGAGTGGACGGTGGGGGGAACGAGGTGGGGGAATGTTTGCGTGTGTGTGAATGTGTGTCTCTCATGCGTGTATGGGTGCATGGGTGCATGGGAGTATGGGTGCATGGGTGCATGGGTGGATGGGAGTATGGGTGCATGGGTGCATGGGTGCATGGGAGTATGGGTGCATGGGTGCATGGGTGCATTGGAGTATGGGTGCATGGGTGCATGGGTGGATGGGAGTATGGGTGCATGGGTGCATGGGTGGATGGGTGCATGGGACGCGACAGGGTGTGGAGAACAGTAGCAGTGTGGGCACAAGCAGCAGTGCGGCAGCAGGAGCGGAGGCGGGGCAGGCAGAGCCGGTGGAGGAGATCTTGTCAGTGGTGGATGTGCCACAGGGGCTCATGGGGCTGGTCATTGGCAGGAAGGGCATGACCATCCGCTCCATCAAGGAGTCTTGCAAGTAACCATCCGCGCTGCCCCTCTCACTCCCTCTTTCCACCCCTGTTCTCGCCCTCCTCTTCCTCACAGTAGCAACATCTCTGTTTCCTGTCAGTACCATGTTTCCATCTGTTTCACACCCCCCCTTCCGCACACGCGCACCACCTTGTGCACGCGCACACCACACGTGCGCAGCCATGGTTGCAACTTGACTGGTACAAAGCGCGGCACACTCAGCGCCCCGCACCTCTCATCCTCTGCGTCGTGCTTCCTGTGCACCCCCCAACAGAGCGCACATCGTTCTAGGAGGACAGAAGGGCCCTCCAGACAAGGTGGGTGTCTTCCCCTTCATCCCAGCCCTCTACTTCCCCTTGCTGGTTTCTCCTATCTGCGCGTTGCTGTTGCTCTCACTCACACGTCACCCAAAGTTTCTGAGCTCCAACCCCCAGTTCATTTGTCCTGCCTACGCTGCGCGCTCGCCACTGTGTCGTCCCCCTGGCCCAACCCGTGTGTGTGGCGTGTGCGGGTGTGCATGGGCGGCAGGTGTTCATCATCGGGCCGGTGAGGGAGGTGCGCAAGGCAGAGGCCATCATCCGTGGCAAGGTGGCGCGCTGACCCCGTGCAGGGGGGAGCGTGCAGGCATGGACGGGTGTGTAGCGAGGCCATTGGGTGAACGTGAACAGCACGGCACATGGGGCAGCGGAGAGTCTCAGAAGAGTTTGACCGAGAGGAGCCAAGCACGTGGCGTGGACCCACTGGAGTGGTTGCATCTGTAGTGAGCGCATGTGCGTTGCATGTGGCCGCATTATTACTGGCGACCCATACAGTGCATTGCAGCATCTAGATAGCGTGCTCTAGTCAAGCGATTAACGTGATGTGACGTGAGTGGCAGGAAGCAGTGCAGCTGGCATGGTTGCAAGCACGTCCAGGCAAGGGAGTCGTGAGCATGCGCTGATGCACCTCAGTGTGCCTTTCATCTGCTTGCATCAAGCACATTACCTCATGTGGAGGCATGGCTGGGTGTGCGTAGTGTGCATGGTTGTGCGTGTTGGGCTGAGAAAATAGCCCTTAGGATCTTTGCAGGGGTGAACTCTGGGTAGAACTGGTGTAGTAGCGGAAGCGTTTAATGAAGAGTTGTGAACCACCTTGCGCTAGTATGTGAGGGCAAAGTTGATTGATTAAAGCAAAGAGATACAAGATTATATAAGTACAAGGAATACGAAGAGATACGATTCCAACTGTTTTACTGTTGTTGTTGCGGTTCGATACAGTGACGACTCGGGCAACTGCTCTGTAACGAGTCAGTTGTGTGTCCTTGCTGTCGCGCTGTACTTGTCAGGTCAAAGGTCGCTGACCTTTGACTTTCGCGTAACCTCCAGCAACTGCTCAACCTCCGAGGGTTGACTCGCCAGTGCTTCGATATGCTTCGCTTCGCTTCTGACTTGGTGTTTCGGCACGACAGAGGCGCTTAGAGTTAATTGTTTCCAACAGTGCGGGGGTTGCCACAGTAGTATTTGGCTCAGCTGGGAGGAATTTTTGGACAGAACAAAAGCAAGGTGCGGGCTCCATTTGTCCTGGCCAGGGCGGTTGTTGAATTAGAGATAGAGTAGAAAGCACTGTTGATTTAACTGACTTCGTTAATACAGCAGCCCTATCCCAAACCCAACCCAAGCTAGGACTGGCACCAGAACTCACAGAAGCAAAGCCGCACCAGCACCCAAGCAACAATTCCTAATGCAAAGGCCAAGCGCCTGAGTGCAAAATATAGCCACCCTTTTCCACTCATTCCCGCCAGCCCCTAGTATCCCCCCCCCCCAGGATAAAGCAGCAACCCCTCCCCCAAGCCATCCCACAAAAGATGAAGGGATGAGCTTGTATCAGTCTGAAGATGCACCGTTCCCGCTTCCGCCATCCACAGGGCTCACAATGCCTTCCCCGACCGCCGCCTGTGCGGGCTCCGCAGGAGGAGCTGCACCACCTCCGCCAGCAGCGGCGGCATCAGCGTCACCAGCAGCCTCGCCCGTGGTCGTTCCAGTGCCGCCCAGCGCAGCAGCAGCGCCTGCAGCGGGAGGTGCCTTGCCTGGCGCGGGAGTGGCGGCAGTTGGTTTGGCAGAGCCAGCGAGCGTCTTTCTGATGGCGGCCGCCATGGTGCTCACGCGCTCCGCCACTCCCTTGGCCGCCGACGTGATCGCGGCGCCGACACCCTTCAGCCCGCTGCTCATGCGCTCCAGGATACTCTGCTTGCCCTGACCCGGCTTCTCCGCCGGTTTCTCCGGCGCGCCATCCGCCGGCGTACTCGGGGCTCGGCTCTCCGCGCTGTTCCCCGGCTCGAGCTTGCTCTCAGCCCCTCCCGCCTGCAGCACAGGGGGCGTGGTGGCGCTGGTGGCGGGCTAGCGCGGGGGAGCAAGGCGGAAGGGAGAGCAAGCATGAAGCGCGAGAGGTGATGGCTGAGTGTTGAGGAAGGTGGATGCGAGAGGGGGAGTGGAGGTGAACGAGCGACGTGGCAATCGAGAGAAAAGCGAGAGGGAACGAAAGCGGAAAAAGAGAAAGGGGGAGAGAGGATGAGGTCGGACCTACTCCGAGAATGTCACTCGACTCCCCCTCGAGCGACCTGCCAGGACGTGCCGCCGTGGCTGGGAGCAGGGCCGCGAGAATGACGCAAGAGAAAAGGAGGAGGACGCGAAGGAAATTCATAGTTGTACGGGAATGTAAGGAGCTCGAACGCGAACAGCACGAGTTGAAAGACAGCTAACCACACACACTAGCAGCACCCGGGCTTTGCTCAATTGTGAAGTGCGTGGCGAATTGGGTTTTGCTTTCTGCGAACACGATCTGGCGCGGGAGCTTGTAGGAGAGGACTTGGGCAATTCTGGCAAGGGAACAGAAGATGGGAGACGAATCGCGCACTTATTGATCATCCCCGCCGTGAACCGCGGTGGCGAATGTCAAGCCCCTCCAACAATTTTGGCAAGCTGGAATGGAAACGAAAGCATGCCCATTGCATCCGCAGGTATACATACGGTAATGTTACGAGTGCAATTGAGTGTGTTATGAGTTGTACTAAACAGAGTTTGCGGAATAATCTATAAAGAGAATGTGATTACGTAAGCTGAGAATACAATGAAGGAACGATCAGTTATAGGGCGAACGTGCTAGGCAAGGACCTCGGGACGTGCGAGGGCTGGAAATGCTGCGATTGGTGCGGGGCGACTCGGAATGTAGTGTTGAGATTAGGTGATAAGAAGGAATGGTAGAAGAGGAGGTTTGAACTAGCAGGAGGTGGGATACATATAGGAAACCCTAAAAGGGTTGTACTCGCTGTTGAATACCCCACTACAGCCTACAGAACAAATGACAGTTTGACACACCCCCATAGGCAAAGTGGGATATAGCCAAGAACAAGCAGTCACAGAACCAGTTCATAGGCAAAGACTGGTGGCATAAGCAGAGGGCAAGTGAGGAGGAGGAGGAAACTAGAGAGGAGAGGAGGTGGGCGGCCGCTGAAGCTGCTGGAACTGGTCGCAAACGGCGTAACTGGCTCTGCTCGCCGGCAAGAGCAACTGACCCTCTGGGGACCAGAGCAACGGGTAACCGGAGTAACTGGCTCGCTCGCCGGCAAGAGCAACTGACCCACGGGCCTCTGACGCAACGGTCTCACGGGCGACTAGAGCTACGGACTTCACGTCGGCCACCCGCCCTCACCCCCCTCGTATCGTCCCACCCCCCCCTGTGTCACACCCCTCGGCCCTAGCGCCACTCCCAAGTCTCCCCCACCCCCCCCCCCCCCCCCCCCCTTCAGCTGCAGCTACAGCAGTGAGAGAGAGAGGAGGAGGAGCGGCAGCTCAACACGCACGCCCGCCACCCCCATACCCCCCCCCCCCCCACGGCTGCAGGCGCAGCAGGGATATGGAGTCGAGAAGGCGGGGTAGGAGCTGCTCCGCGGCTGCCCGCCACCCCCATACCCCCCCACGGCTGCACGCGTACCAGGGAGAAGGAGGCGGGGGGGCGGGGTAGGAGCTGCACCGCGGCTGCAGGTTCTGGCGCGCGCCCGAGGCGCGCGGCGTGCAGAGATCCACGCGCGCCCCGGGCGCGCGACGGGCAGGGGCTGGCGCGCGGGTCCCCTGGGGCGCCGCGACAGGCGACGGGGGACGGCGCGCGGGTCCCCAGGGGCGCCGCGACGGGCGACGGGGGGGGGCGACGCGTGGGTCCCCGGGGACGCCGCGACGGGCGACGGGGGGCGACGCGCGGGTCCCCGGGGGCGCCGCGACGGACGACGGGTGGCGGCGCGCTGGTCCCTGGGGGCGCCGCGACGGACGACGGGGCGTGAAACCGTCGCGCGCGCCAGGGGCGCGCGGCGGGCAGGAAACCGCCACGCGCCCCGAGCGTGTGGCAGGCAGAAAAACGCCGCGCACCATGGGGCGCGCGGGGGGCAGAAAAAATGTCGCGCGCCCGGGGCGCGCGACTAACAGGATAGCAGCGGAAGTAGTAGGGCCCATCCACAGGATCGACCAAGGAGGGTCGACCTGCTCTGATAGCATGTTGAGATTAGGTGATAAGAAGGAATGGTAGAAGAGGAGGTTTGAAATAGCAGGAGGTGGGATACATATAGGAAACCCTAAAAGGGATGTACTCGCTGTTGAGTACCCCACTACAGCCTACTGAACAAATGACAGTTTGACATGTAGTTCTGTTCGGGCCGAAGTGTACGATAGGCCGAACCCAATCTGGCGCGAACTGCTCGGGCTATCCCCGATAAGGTCAGGCTGTCAAACTATATATGTGCTAGTTCAGTGTAGGCTATAGTGGGGTAGCCTGTATGGGGTACAACCCAATGTTAGGGTTAGTACTTGTACCCACAATCCTTTCAATGCAGTCATTTTCTAGCTTCTCATTCTGACATGGTTCAGAGCAGTAGGTCCGTAAGACCGTTATTTTTCGGGCCCACCATTCCGACTGCGGTTACCGTGTTACCCTACTGCCCTATCCCGCGTCGCGCTGCCCCGCGCACGCCACCTACGCGCTGCCCCTGCTGGCCGCGCGCCACTGCTGCAGCGCGCGTTTTCTTAAGCGCGCTGCCCCATCTGCGCCCCGCGCGCCTTCTGCAGCCCCGCGCGCCGCCTGTAGCCCCGCGCGCCGCCTGCCCCTGCCGTGGCTGCCTGCTACGCGCCGCACGCCACCTGTCGCGCTGCCCCGCAGCCCCGTACGCCGCCCGCCCTGCTGCCGCGGCCGCCCGCTACGCCCTGCGCGCAGCCCGCCCTGCTGCCCTGCCGGCCGCCTGCAGCCTAGCGCGCTGCCTGATACAGCCGCGGCCGCCCGCTACGCCCAGCGCGCCGCCCGCCCTGCTGCCCCGCCAGCCGCCTACTGCCTCGCACGCCACCTGCCCACGCTGCCCTGCGCTCTGACCACCCTGCCAGAGCCAGCAGCTATGGCCACCCTCCGCGTTCTGTCGTTCGATACTGAGGGCCGCCCGATTCAGTTTGAGACCTGGCTCGATGACCGCTGTTCCTAATGAGCGATAGCAAGGATAATGTCTCTCTCTTTGACCACACGTCTGGTGCCTCTGTCGCTCCTGCTGCCACAGCTGAGCTTAGTGCCCATTCCCAGTGGCAGGCTCGTGACGCTGCAGCTCGCCTAGCCGTTCACAACCACCTGCCATTAACCGAACTCACGCATTTTGGCGAGAACAAAACCGCTAAGGCCCTGTACGACGCTGTAGTTACTCAATACTCCTCCCCTGCCACTGCTGCACTTAGCCGCCTCATGCTGCCCTACCTGTTTCCTGAGCTGTCCACCTTTGCCACAGTTGCCGATCTTATTACCCACCTTTGCACTAGTGACACTCGCCTTCGCGCCGCCCTCCCCAAAGAGTTCTAGCTAAGAACCCGCCTCCGATGTACTGGACCCTCCACTTCATAGTGACCCGTCTCCCTGACTCTCTTCGCTCGGTCAGGGACCACTTTCTCGCTCGCTCTCCCACCGATCTCACTGTCGACCTCCTAGAGGAGCAGCTTCTAGCCGCCGAGACTAGCATAGTCACTGTAGGTGCTGCTCGTGGCGCTCCTCGCACCCCCATCTTTGAGGGGTGCTCTCCCTCTCCCCTCGCCCCCTCCTACGCTACTGCCGCTGCGGTTGACTTCCTTGGTGCTGAGTCTGTTGCTGCTGCTTCTGCTCCTAGTGGGAGGCGCCGTAGCGGCAAGGTCAAGGGAGCCAAGGGTAGCGGAGGTGGCACCGGGGGGGGTGGTGGTGGAGGAGGTGGAGGAGGAGGGAGGTGGCGGAGGGAGTGGTGGCGGGAGTGCTGGCGGGAGTGGCGGTGGAGGCGGTGGGAGTGGCGGTGGAGGCGGTGGTGGCGGAGGGGGTGGCGGCGGCAGTGGCGGCGGCGGTGGCGGCCGGGGCGGAGGCGCTGGCGTTGGCCAGAGACAGTAGCAGCAGCAGTGTCCCCGTGAGGCTCTTACGCCACAGCAGCTTCGTAAGTGGCTTGCTTAGTGTGGGACGTCTGGGGTAGTGGTCGCTGCCCGTATGTCATTTGCACAGGTGACCATGCTGGTCAGTTATGCGGGAAGTTCCACACTAAGAACCGCTGCTTCTCCCGCCTAGACGACGCCTGGCGTGAGGAGATGGGCGAGGAGGTCGAGCGCCCTCGCTGGCATGAGCTACTTAGGGCTGTTGTAGACATCTTTGCTCTTGACTATGATGCTATCCTTGCTGCCATGTATGCATTGACTGTTAGTGCTGAGGGAGACTGTTACTTGTGTGTGCCGCCTGACCCAGGTATAGAGGCTGCTGCCTTAGGTGCGAGCGAGTCTGCTCTCTCAGGTACTGCGCCTGCTGAGGCCTTGCACACCTTCACGCTTGACTCAGGTGCTTCCCGCTGTTTCTTTCGTGACAGTACTGCACTCACACCACTCACTGCACCTGTTGCAGTCTCTCTGGCTGACCCCTCAGGGGGCCCAGTTCTTGCACGGTCCACCACTTTGCTCCCGTGCCCAGCGGTTCCATCTGGCTTCATGACAGGCCTCCACCTCCCCTCGTTCTCTACGAACTTGGTGAGCAACGCAGTTCTGCAGGACCAGTGGGTTGACACCTTTACCCCTGGAGGACAGCGTGTGGCGATCTGTACGTGCTCCCGGACCGGCCGCCAGGTCTGAGGCCACTAGCTAGAACTGGTGTACAAACCCTAGCTCCGCAGGCTGAGATCTGTGAGTGAACGTTCCCTTCAGAGTGCTTGCGCAGGTTGGCTTCTCTTGCTTAGCTACGAACAGCCACGTAGAAATCTTTAAGCATAGTGTGAAATCAAACACGCAAGCACTTCATCAATCTTGCCTATTTCCTTAAGTACCAGCGGCTAGTTACCGTTGTTCTAACGGTCCCCTTTCGCCCGCCGAATCTCATTTATGTTCGTTTGCTTCGGCTTTCTGATGCTCCAATATTATCCTAGCTACTGTGTTCCCTGCTTATCCTATAAGTCACGAGTTTATATATAATGCCTCTACATACGGATTAAAATCGTGACAGCTGTCGGAATCTTCTGCCTCAGACTCTCATTCCTCTCCCACCATCCCCTTCCTCTTGCTGCTCTCACCCTGGCTTCAGAAGGCTCCTCAGCTCCCTGCTCCCCTTTCCTTTGTATCCAGCCCCTCTCTCTACTTGCCCCCTCCGCGGCTGCCCTTGCGCCCCTACCGGCTGTCGCTGGAACTCTTGCTCGTGTGGTTGGGGTTGCCCTCGGCCTTCTTGTCTGCCCCTCGCTCTCGCCAGATTCGTACAATGATCCGTCCTCTGCTGCCCCTTCTCGCCGACTAGCACCATGACTCCCGAGTCTTTCACTTCCTTGACTCTCCAGCGCTCAGTGCTCAGCCCTATATCCATCAAGTCGTGCTTGGCCTGCTTCAGATACACTTCCTCCCCTGCCCCCAGCTCCTTT